ATATGACTAATTTAAGTATTTTTTCCAACCATTTCATCTAGAGTATTACAACCACAACCATGTTATCCTGGTAGAGAGATTTAATGATTGTCTAGTCAAATTCAGTTAATTTGAAGGGTTTCGCACCAAATTGTCCTGTAGAATAGAAGGAAAATATAATTCAACAATGATGTAGTGAAAACCACCAAGGCGTACCTAAAGAAAGGAGAATCAATTGATGTGGTTTGGTTAACAATCTCCAATGAGCCACCTATGTCACATGTAATGTCACAAACTCCAACGAGTGGACAGTCTTTACTCATCAGATCTTGCAGCTGCTTGGTCGTCAATAGCTGAGGAAATCTTTTCTCCCAATACATACAGTTAACTGCAAGTGGGACAATGCATGAAAAGAAACAATTTGAGCTAAACATTTAAAAATAAACAAATTCAGTGCACAATGATTTTGAACTGTTTGAAGATTTTATGGCCTAGTCATGTAAGTTTAAGCCTGTTCAACACTGAATTACTTAAAAATTCACCAGATATGAGTTTGGGCTTGGAATTCAGCATTACATACCTGAGGTTTCTTTGATATCAACCCCAAGAAAACCGTTACTAATACGAACAGGTATGCCTAATACTCTTCAAATTAAGTATTACAATAAATGTTGTGGTTGTCCAAATTTCTGTTATTCTTCCATCGGCCAAGCTGCTTTTTGGTTTCTTTATATCTGGAGAAAGGTTCTTGTATGATTGAATTGATAAACATGGCATTCATTTATATCTGGTGAATTTTGTGATATAATTTCCTACCTTGGTGATACCATAACTCATTACTGAAATTGACGATGAAGAAAACAAACCTATCACAGATGCATAAGGGGCAATCTTTTCATGGAAAACAGGAATGTAGTGCTCTGGATGTGCGTAATAGTCAGCCTGAAAGAATCATAGCTTCATCATCAGCAGAAATTGCACGAGTTATCTTGAAAACTGGTATAGACATGAATGCTAAACCTGCAGCTGAACTCCTTAAGAGAAGTTCAGAAACAAAAGTTCCTACAAAGTAGATCTAAGGTTCACAAGATATTTTCATCTCTTCTACATTTAGCATTCAGCAGGAAACTATTACAATTCTGCAAAGCAAAGAACCTAGCTCAGGTAGCAAAACTACACGGCAAATTTTTCATTATGAATCAGACATCAATGAACTAATAAAATGATGCATGGATATTTAATTATTCTATGATATGTTTACTCAGTTTATCTTCATAAAGAATTACATGAAAAGCAGATGTTTGTCAAAACTCTTAATTTAAGACCATGCTGATCAAGCAGGTAAAATCACACACTGGCAGAATTGGTTGATAAAAGTGAGCTTAAGTACGTCATCCAGCTCCAAAGCAAGAGGATAATAACAATGCAACTACTAGTTCTCTCTCATTATATGCAGTATACAGAGGCATCTATAGTTCCCAAGCAATAGGCAGAAGACTGTAATAATGCTATTAGCTCCTTTTTCAAGGTTGGAAAGTGGAAACATAAGTAACTGTTGGACTATGGGCCCACAAATGACTATGAAGAATCATTGACACAAGAATTGGGAGGATGTGCTTAATTTTGGCTCAAACTCTCATTTACTAAAAGATGTACGCCTGTCACAGACTGTACTCAAGAAGTCCTGACACAAACTTGGCATGTGCACCTTGGACTGCTTTGGAAGACATTTCCAGGATGGTACCATGTGAACATTAACATTTAGGTTTGCCATTGAACATATAGTTCACAATATAGAAGTTGCTTTCCTGAAACCTAAAAGACTAACCAAGAAAACTGCATTCTCATGCATCCAAAAAGTTCAATTGAAGAGTCAGAACCTAAATAAAAGAGCTATTATTGTGTACCTTATCAAAAAATTTCGAAGGTTCTTCAGGTTCCACCATGTCCTTAGAGGTTACAACACAGCCATAAACTTGAAAGACTCTCTTTGCTGGACGTGCAGGATCTTTAGCCTGTATGCAGTAGACACATTTTTGTAAGAACGAACATAGTAGGCTCAAAGATGAACGAGGGATGAAAATAAATAAGGATATCATTTAAAGTAAAGAATTGGTCATTAAATGAAAACAGTCCATTTCAGAGACAAGCAAAGAAAGAGACACAAAAAAAAATCTCAACATCTCATAAAATTTGTATTTGCGAACAAGTCTACTTTGCATGAAAATAATTCTATACTTGATCATCAACTTGACCAATTACATGGGTTGGATAACTAATAGCCAAATCATTGCTTGGTAGCAAACTTGGTTTTGTGTATCATCTCAAACAATTTTACCAAAGAAACCAACTTAAAATAGAGAATTCCAAAATCAACTTAAGCATCAGCCAAAAATGCAGTAATCATTTCTAGAAGCCACTTATTCAACTTTTCAAAAATTGCTATAGGTATGATAATGTTGTTTTAAAGTTGAAAACCCACAGAGGTGGCCAGCCAACGCATTCAAGCAAGTTTGGGTTGGATGTGGTTCTTCTTTCTACTTCAACATAAAAGCATGCAATTCATCAGCAAAAGTTAATTTACAACAGCCAGAGAAATGCAATAACGCCTGAAGACATTGAAGGACAAATGAAGTCCATGGAAGTAAATTGTACTGTCTTGACGAAAAAGTCTGTGACTACCTTCCCAAATATTTCAGGAAGTCTGCAAGGATCCATGGGAGTGTGAGGCAGAAGTTTAAAGATCTCTTGTGCTCCATGTGAAACTACAGAAAATATCAAAAACATAAGAAGATCAATAGAGAAATCAAATGGTATTAGCATATAGCATAGAAGATAAACAACACAGAACAAGCAAGAAATTACACAAATGCATTCAGAAATAATGATATCAAAATAGAAAAACAAAGTATAGCATATGCCGACATGGAGCATAATCATATCACAATCTTTTCATTATAACACAGAAAAACAATGGGGACATGGCAGATTTAGAGTACCATTTCCTGAACCAGTAAAAACAAAAACTAAAGGACAGATTCCAGATGGAAGTCCCATGGTGGCAATCTCTTCCCCAACTGAAATTACTGCAGCCTTAGCAGCAGCTAATGAAGAATACATATAAGATGCTCCCAGAGACAGGAAAGGAGTTGAATACCCAAGACTAAGATACCCTGCATTAAGAAGAGAAATTAAATAAATTACTGATAAATAGCATTTGAAGGAGATTCTGGTTTTAGGTTAGCTCTGCTATGTCAAACTACATAGCATTACATAAAGAGTAAGTAAGAAGTGGAAGTAACTCGGATTGAAAGAACAGGTGCATACTCTGTCCTAATCCATGTAAAAAGTCAACCATTCCAGCTCTACCAGCAAACTTTCCGAATGCTAGTAATCTCTTTCCATGGTCTCCAACAATAAGCTCATAATCAAACAACGAAGCCTTCTCAGCTAGAATCTAAACATAACGAATTATGTCAGAACAATGCCAAAACTATCCAAGTCTAGATCAAGTGCCAAAAAAAAACCTTTGAGTCCACTCTACCTTGTCAAGCAAGGGCATATTTTCCCTTTGTGCCTTGTGAGTATGTGAAAAAAAGGCATAAGCCCTGTCAGGAAGTATCATGTCCAGCTGCCACCCAAAAAAAAAAAAATAAAATGATATGACCGTCTGATTATCAATGAATATCCCAGAATCCAAATTGCAGAAAAAGTTGGCACCTTGGGTTGTTTAATGCCCAAAATAAGGCCACAGTCCGACAAATCCTCAGAAATTTCACAGCCCACATCCTCATAAAGAGAATCATGATGAATGCGCTTTGTAGAAGGCTGAACAATGATCCGGGCCACCCCTGTTTTGCCTCTACCTCCATGCAACAGTTTTGCACAGTGGGATGGCGTGAGAGGCACCCTTCTTTCCCACTTGTTGGTTGATTCTGATAAAATCCCCACCACCCCATTTCCCAACATGGCTACCTTTGTTCTTCTGCACCCAAAAACGTCACAAGAATATCAACTCATTAAAGTCACTATATCCATGATAAGAATATCAAATAAGATCCCACTTTGTCATTTTATACATAAAACACCTAAAATCACAACATACTCTTCAATAATTAATGGTTATATCAAATTCTTCAACATCAGGGAGAAAAACTAATAAGAACTAACAAAATGCGATTGTTAATGAAAAAAATTCAAAAAAAAACCTGCAAGTTCAAGCAGGTGAGAGTTCTGAATTAGTAGAAAAATTCCGGATGAAAACGTCGCTCAGAGCTTTCCTGCTACTGTCAATGCTTGCGTCTGATCAAACATGTCTGTTGCAGTAAGAAAACTAGTAAGAAGTTTTCGTGATGAGACAGCTTTCTGCAGAGCTCCGTCGTTGTCAATGCGTGATATACTATCAGAGTGCGTGTCCGAGTCTAATAAGCAACTTCGAGGATCTCTGGATTCGACTGCAAAATATATAAGTACGATTGTCTTCTATTTCGACGTTTCTGAGATAGATTACCGTGTTTATACAGCCATCACACTCATGTCCCACTAATATTGCATATGTGTGATTAATGTGATATACATTGGGGAAAAGAAAAAGAAAAATTAGGTGACATGTGACGTCAACTAATGGCGACGGTGAGGCCTTGATCCTCAAGTCCTATCTTTTTATGCATCGCCATCTTTTGACAAGCTTTCCACTCTTTGGATCACCATAATTCAACGAATAATTTATTCATTTATTGAAGACAACCTAGAATCTTCCAAAAGACCAAGAACAAGCTCACTGAAATAATCCAAGATCAGGTAATACCATTGGTCAGGTAGTTCTAACCATGCAGGCATATATGACCTTTATTGAACTGACGCGCAGAAGTTAGTAAGCACTATAAGAAGTGAGCTAGATGACAAAATTTCACTGTTGAGCCTTAAATGTAGACATATGAGTTCGTTAAATGATTATCCAACAACTCAAAAAATAAAAATAAAAATAAAAATCTTTTCTGATTATTTCGATTTCAATTACATGAATTGTTTTTATCCATTGCAACTAACACATCAACGAATAATTCCAGAATGTACTAAACTGCTGAATTAGCAGTCTCTGTCTGGATTCCAAACCATCTCATTAGAGCTAATTATCTCAAAATCTAATCCTACTTTTCTCTTTTCCCATTTAACCATAAAATGGAATCAATCAAACCATCCTTGTTGCATCTACCCGACCAATATGGCATTCATTTAGCAGTGTTAAAAACCTGCTTTTAAAGCTTAGGAAGCCCCGAAAAGGTTATACAGGACTTCTTTGAACTTACTAAGCATGGGCGAACAATATAATACTACAAGCAAATTACTCTGCCCAACAGGAGCACACAAAATCTAGTCAATGTGTAAACCTTGAAAGGAACAAATGAAAAGTGAGGACAAAAACATGTCGTCTCCAAAACATTCTATAGGAACAACAGAAGATAAAGCCCAAAGACAAGGACTAACTCCCTTAACCACAGGTAACTGAATTCCAAGAACCCTAGCCTTTCTCAAAATCAGCAAATTTGGCATTAAAAAAAAAGAATGACAAATTTAAAAAATAAACAGAGACTCCGGTATACTTACATTCACGTTAGTAATATAGTGGCAAACAGCACATTTAACTGACGGCGCACCATATGGATACATAAGTGTAGTGCGGCAGTTTCCACAGTTGACATGAGCAACATTAGACACTTCATCCATGAAGAAAAACCAAATGAAAACAAAATGTTAGGTCCAGGCATGTAAAATAGGATATAATGGTAACAGAAATATAATGCAATTCAGATCCATGGAAAAACATACTTACAAGCAGCAAAATTGTCTAATCTTAATCAGAATATTTGACAACAGAAAAGTTCCAAAACTTCAACAAAGCTCCAGATAAAGATCATACTAGACATATCTTAAATAAATATTTGTGAACTAGATCCAGACTTTCACATTATTGTTAAATGTCTCCAGTAGTTCTCTGAACAATAAAAATGTTACTTAAGAAAATAGAACCATGCAGCAAAAAGCATCCACTTTTATAAGTTTCTGAACAATAATAGTCTTTGCAGGCCAATAGAGTCAACAGCTCTGAGTTCTTTTAAATAAACCTTGTTACTCCTGTGTGTTGTTTAAAAATATAGAGGTACATGATAAACCATAGTATACCAGGTGCAAGATTCACAGTATGGCAACAGGAGCATCTCACACTCGTGGCACCACGTGTGTACATCAACAATGTACGGCAACCTCCACATATAAGTTGAGCCATATCCATTCCTGCGTGACATATGTGAAAAGATCAATTTTTACATGTCCCGAGACTCCCTTTTCACCTATATGTCCTATATGTTAACTTTTGAGAACAGTGCAATTGCACTCTCTGAATGGGAGAATATATGCCAATAGCAAGTGATAAACTCCTCTATCAACTATGCAGTTCGAACAAGAAAACTGCATCCTACACATACAAAGTTCAGTTAACTCATTATTACCAATCATGCTATACCCTAAACTAATTAAACAAAACAAAAAAGGTGGTCTTAGGCTATATCATAACCAATAAACCAGTAAAAAAAAAAAGACGATCTTTCTCTATTGCAAAAACTATGCGTATGTAACTTTTGAGGGACAATAAATAAGCAAACTAGAAATATGTAAATATCTCTGGAACAAAAAGAACAGAAAACGAGAAGAACTAGGAGAAAGAAAAGGTACCGGGAGGCGGGAGTTGAGGTGGGGGAACGGGAGTCAGGGCATTGCAGAAAGCGCAGCAGACATTGGTGGCACCTCTCGGGTACAGCAACACGCTTCTACACCCACTGCACACTATCTGGCTCTGCATCCCCTCTATTACATTCACAATAACAGTTTCACCGTAAAAATCACAACTTTATCGTCCAATCCAATCCAATAGATAAATAGACAACAGCCCAACGAAACATAATAAATTCCTATTCAATAGAAAAAAGCGAAAGAAGAAAATCAATATACTTACTGGTTAAGCAATTGTTAGCCAACAATTAGATGTGATTAGGTAATTATAGAAGAGGAGAAGAATGAAAATTAGGGCCAAGATTGGGGGAAAAAAAGAATAAATAAATCGGGTATGCCGGTGCGGTGGTTTTTGGGATCGAGATTCGATACAGAAATATGAAACTATAAATAGAAATCAGAAAATGGAAACCTAACGGAGAGATTTTAGAATCGAATCGAGATGTTCAGTGAGGAAGGAAGGCAAGGCCAACTTAGGAAGGTAAGGGGGCAAATTAGCTAAGCTGCTAAAGATAGAGAGAGAAAGAGAGGGACGCGGTGGTAAATGGATGACCGGGTCAATCAACGTCGTCGGACGGGGAAAGTAATTTCAGATTAATTAGGAGGGAAGGAAGCAGTACGGCGGTTTCTCTCTCGTGGGGAGAGCCCAGCTTACCAGAAATAACGGAATAAAGTCCTTCTCTGGATTACCCCTCTTCCTCTTCTCCTATTTTTTACTTCTCCATTTTTTCGATTTCCACTTTCCATCTTTTGTTGTTTATTATACCTTATGGAATCTTCAATCGTGGCCATATTATGCAACATTTTACATAATTAGAATCAGGATTTTTAGTTCTATTTTCTTGTTCCAGGGTTAACTCTCAAATTAGCACTATAAGATATAAATTGCTCTCAAATTAGTACTATGAGATATAAATTGTTAAGTGACTAAATATGGATGTTGATTTTGTATATAATGACTATCTAACACTAGCATCCTTTGATACATGTCAGATGTGCAAAAGACAAAAAAAAAAAAAAGAGAAGAAGTTCAAATTCAATTAAAACCAATGGCTCTGTTTGGATCTCCTGTTTTTGGAGTGTTTTTCAAAAAGTAGTTTTTCAAATATAATAAAAGTTACAACAAAGTACTCTAAAAGATAATCTAAAAATTAGTTTAACTTTTTTTAAAATTTTACCAAATATCTCAAAATAAAGTTTCAATAAAAAATATTCCAAAATATTTTCTAAAAATATTTTAAAATATACTCTAAAAATTCTGCTACAGCAAAGTTTTCAGAATCGGATCGAACCGGCCATGAGACCGGTCTGATTCTATGCTATAGTTGAAGTTGTCCATGAATCAATCAAGACCGGTCAAAACCGTCCAACCCGGTAAATCGGGTCAAACCGCTAATTTTGGGTTTTTTTGTTTTCCTTCAATTTTATTTTTTTTTAAGTTTTGCAAAATGTCGCTAGTAAGAACTGAATTCAAAACATTTGCTACACAAGACCAACATAGTAACCATTGTACCATCATATCCACTTAGTCTCTTTTTATACCACATTTATATAAAAATAAATCTCCATCTTTCTTTCCTCTGTTTTTCCTACAAAACCTCATGCTCTCATAACTTTTTCTTTATAATTTTCAACTCTTTCTCTCTCTCCTCTTTTCTTTCGTCATCCTTTTTTAATCAAACATCTTTAGTTTTAATTTATTGATATTTTTCTTCCATCTTTTAATTTTATTTTTGTCTATTAAATTGAATTTTTTTAAAATAATTGTTTTTCTTTAACCATAAAAACTAATTATTAAATACCACAATCACTCACTTTCATCTCATTTTTTTACTTCTTATCAAGTTTGCATCTCTATTTTCGATTCTCCTGACTTTCTCCAAACTCCGAACTTCAAACTTGATTTGCAGTGATATTCTTCCACTCAAAATCTCTTTCTTCGCTTGGTGTGTCTTACACAACTGGCTACCTTTGGATGTTACTCTAAGGACTAGAGGTGTAGTGCTTGTCTTGATGTCATTGTTGTCATCAGGAGGAGGAATAACTTGATCACTTGTTTCTTCAGGGGCCAGTTGTAGCACGAGTCTGGGAGCATTTTGGGAGACGTTTTGGCATCTTGGATGTGGTGCGCAATTCCCTGTCATCGGTATGGGTGTCATGGTTTAATTCACCCTTTCCAGCCCAGGTAGGGCATATACGCATAGCTGTGCTAGTTTTGATCCTATGGTTCTTATGGAAGTCAAGAAATCAAGCCCGATTTGAGAATGAAGCGTTTGAACCTTAACAGGTAATTGCCGAGATTAATGGATTCTTGGATCAATTAGGGGCTGCTAAGGTTCTCAAAACCTAGCATTTTAGAAGAGATATCGGGGATCCGTGGGCTACTTGGATTGGTCAAAGAGTAAGGCGTGTTGAGTGTGAGGTTGTTTCCTGGCAGAAATCTCCCTCATGTTATTATAAGCTCAAGATGGATGCTAGTGTTCTCTGGGGGCGGGCGTCTAGAGGTGGTCTCCTTCGGGATTCAGATGGGAACCTGATTTTTGTCTTTTATAAGGAATTTGGAGAATCAAATGTATTAATGGCTGAAAGTCTGTCGTTGTTGCATGGACTTTTGTTATGCTTTGAAAGACAGTTCAACACTTATTGGTGGAGGTGGATTCGAAATCCCTTGTTCGCTTGATCCACTTAGGGGTGGTAGGTAAATAGCCGTTCTGCAATATTCTCATGAGAATTAGTGGATTGCTCTCTGACTCCTCCTTGTCATTAGTGCATGTTTATAGGGATACTAATAGTACGACATACAAGCTGGCGGGACTGCGGCTCCTACAAGACACTTTCTTTCCCTCCTTTTAGCATCTTTCTGCAATTGTTAGATCATCTCTACTTCTAAATAGGAGGAGGTCCCCCATGTTCGCCTGTGCATTAGTTTGTAGTTTTGGCATTTGTATTCATTTTTCGTTTATTAAATAAACCCCCACCCCGTGTACAGGGCTTTGTAAAAAAAAAAAAAGAGGATCAACTCATCTACATTCACAAGTTCGTATGTAAAAAAGACACATCTCCGACCATTATTTCATAGTTACATTAGGATTGGAAGGAAAACCAAAGGGGCAAAAATATCCTTCTCAGTATACATTAAGAAATAAATAGCAAATACATAGAGAAATAGGAAAAATGGTAAAAACAAAGCATACCACCAAGCCAATGTATAGAGGAACTATGATCACAACTAGCAAGTAAAGGATCCCTAGAGGGCTATGGGTTCACTGAAACGGGAGAAAATAATGAAAAGATGAAGCCAAGCTGGCAAGGAAGTTATGTAGAGAAGATTTTGAGAGGAAAAAGCTCGAAAAGGGGAAAAATTTGTCCTAAAATTCAGAGCGCATCTCCAATAATTTACATTGCATCGATAGAAATGAACATTGCAAATTGCACCAATCATCATTTTAGAAAAAACCCCCTCTCTTTTTGAGAGCTTCCCTCTCTACGATGAGAGCTTTGCCTCCTCTTCAGTGGGAGTAGAAATACTCTTTAGAACACTTAAACCCAACTCTCATCGGTTCCTCCTCTGTAGCTTTTCAGTAGTTCTTCCAGTTTCAAACAAATCTTCTCTTTCTCCTTTTATTGAAGCTGATCTTTGGAAAAAAAAACAAAAAACAAAAAACAAAACAAAACAAATCTTCTATTTCTGAAAATGTCTTAAACTCTCTGCTTTTAAACTTTTTTAATTTCTTACTTTCTTGGCTCTGGGGTTAGGGGGTATATGCCTGACCCAGCATCTTGATTTTATTTTCCCTGCGCAGGTCGGTAATGTTGCAATTCATCGAGTGAGGTGCCTGGAATACCATTGAATATCACAACAAAATCATGGCGGAAGAACTTGTGGAAGTGTTTGACAGATTTGATTTATCCAACAGAGAAAGCTCAGGAATTATCTTGGACGGGGTCGATGTGCATATAGGTAAGAAAGAATGCAGGAAAAGTCTCTTTGGAAGAATAATGGGGGAAAGGATCACCAACTTCACAGGAGTGAAGAACTTTGTCAATCAAGTGTGGGGTTACCCAAGGAATTTGGTGGCTGTGGAGCTGGGAGCAAATCTGTTTCAGTTTAATTTCTCCGATGTGATGGATATGGAAAAGATACTGAGTGGAAGACCATACACAATTGACAACCAGCTCCTCAACATCAAGCCGTGGGAGGAAGGCATTGATCGCCAGATGGAGGCATTCCAAAAAGCCCACATCTGGGTTCAACTATGGAACCTGCCAATACATTGGATCACAAAGGAGATAGGGGTTAAGATTGGTGGTATATTTGAAGATGTTGAGGATATTATTATCCCAATGGGTGGAAGTAAAAAAGGGAGACATATAAAGCTGAAAGTGGTGATTAATACATCCCTTCCACTGTTGAGAGGAACGGTGGTGAAATTAGGTGGTCAGAGCATCTGGGTAGAGTTCAGGTATGAAAAGTGCCCGGATTTCTGCTATGGATGCGGATTAATTGGGCACAGTGACAAATCTTGCAGGCACAAATCAGGGACAACCAGGGGCAATTCCAAACCTCAATTTGGACCTTGGATGAGAGCTCAAGCCAAGGGAGCATCCCCAAAAAAGAGAACAGAGTATCGGTCTGATACCCCTAGAGATCCAAAAGAATCGATGAATGCGGTTGCACAGAAATTACTGTTCGAAGGAGAATACATAGTTCACCAGTCAAGGGGGCTGGGATCCAGTAGAACTAACATTGACGAACTGAAGATTGTCAGGAAAGAGAGGGAAGATGACACAGTCTTGTCAGGCAAAGAGCGGGCGCAAAAAATCCATGATCAAAATTCAAAATTGGGCGCGGCGGAAAAGAAAGTAAGTGAGCCCACCTCTGAAAACACAACAGAACAAGAAGGCGGCAAGTGGGTTCAAGGGGAAGTCAAAAGTAATTTAAGCCCAGGCCCAATTTGTAGCTTGACTCCAAAATGTCCCCAATATAAGCAGGATTTCAAACAGGGCTTGGAGGATCAGATGGACATTTTAGTTGAAACTAACGAGGAAGGAGGAAATAATACCTCTCTCGGACATTCTCCTGGAGATCATTCAGTTGCAAACCAAGGGGTATGCAGTCTAATACCAGCAGGTAGAGAGATGGGAAATAAAGGTAGGAAGCAATTTAAGGTAGCCAGGAAAGATGGTAAAGGGCTACAAGGTCAGCTGGGTAGGCTCCCACTATCAGATATGGACATGAACATTGAAACTACAACAGTAGCTGCAAAGAGGAGATTACCAGAGGAGGAGGAAGAAGCAAACCGTATGCAAATTGATGGGGGCTTAGCTAAAAGAGTTAAATAGAAGCAAGATTGCAAATGGGAACCAAATTCTGAGGTCATGGAGGCAAGCCTTAATTGATCTCCCAAGTCCACATGATAGTTGCGGCGTGGAATTGTCGAGGGGCAGGGAGCTCCTTGACTATTCCCTGTCTTAAGGAGGTAATCCACCTTCACTCCCCTGACATTATTTTTTTATGTGAAACAAAAAATCAAAAAAAGTTTTTGAACGGGTTTAAAAGGAAAATAGGGTATGAGGAAATGGTTTTAGTAGAACCTGTTGGTAAAGCTGGTGGGCTTGCTATTTTTTGAAAAAATACCACTAAGGTTTTGAATGTTTTATTTACCCCTTTTACCATTGAACTTCTGTTGAATGATGACAATGAATCTGGTAACTGGTGGTGCAT